TTATATGTAACTTTCATTTTATATATTACATGTAAAGTTATCGATTCAATAAATACTATTAATATTAAAATACTATTAATATTAATAATGATTAAAATTAAAATTTATTTTTCTTAGAAATAAAACTTTATTTTTAAAAATATAAAATTAAAAAATTTTTTTTATAAATTGATAAAAAGATTTCAAAAATCACAATTTTAATATTAAAAATGCACGGAATAAAAAATTATATATATATAAAAATACTTTATGAATTATATTGATTGCCATATTTTTTTATTTTTCTCTCAACCAATGAAAAGAGTCCGTTTCCTTTCTTCCATAGTGAATTCATTGTATATTGTAGATAATTGTAATTGTATATTAATGTATAAACATGTTCACAATGTTTTGCGGAATATATATACTTTATTATACCTATTCATAGCAAACTTGGGATTTCACGAATTTGAAAAAAAATAAAAATAAAAAAAGACAAATAATAACTTCAAATTCGATTGCATTCAACCAAATTTGTTATTAACTGTTTATAATATATATATGTCACTACTATAGAAACAAGAAGATTGTTTTCATTGATTGTAGAATGAGAAAACAAAATATTTAAAACATTTTTAAATATATTTAACTTTTGATTTCATATATTCCTGATATTAAAATTTTAATATTTTAAATTTATTTGTCTAAATTCTATTAATTTATCACAAAAATCTTCAAAACTTTATGTCTTCAGAAATAAAATTTAATTTTTAATTTTACTATAAAATTATAAATAAAATAATATAAATATCATTTTCAATAAATTTAATGTTAACTGAACATAAATCGCGAAGATATAAAAAAATATTTTGCTTTTTCCGAGATTGATATTTTAGATATAGAACATATTATATTATTTCATAATATTTATAGAATTTATGATATTTCAAAATCCATATAAGATTTTCATTTTATCATGCAGACAAAATACAGATAGGAATGAAATTTGAAATATTTCGAATTATTTCAAATTTATGAAGTGACAAAAACATTGAATCATTTCAAACAATTTTTTAAAACTTTTGAAAATTATGAAAATTTTAATAATATTTTAGAAATCAACTTTATCTATTTGTATATATAAATAATTAATTTTTAATTAATAATTTATAATATTATATTATAATTTAAAAAGATTGGAAAATTATTTTAAAATAAAACAATAATTATTTTATTTAGTTTTTTAAATATTTTAATTTTTTACTACTGTATATATTTATATTTACTAGTGTACGTATGCATATTTTATATATATATTGCATATATATTATAATAAATATGATATGAATTGTTATGTATTAATTAATTATGTTTAAAATTAATCAAAAAAGCGTAATATTATATTTTTTTATTACTTTTGAATATATATATTAACATTATTATATAATATATATTACATTATATTATGTATATATATATATAAATAACTTTTTATAATTCAGTGGTTTTGTTATATTAATAAAATTGATTGCTAAAGTTATTGCAGAAAGTTTAATTTAAATTATTAAATAATAATTACAGTATAACAAATTTTGAATTTAAGAAACAACAATATATTGTTATCTACAATTTATAAATATGAATTAAATTTATATAAAAATATATATATATAAATAAATAAAAATTACTAAATTTTTTCATACATTTATTAATGTATATATTAAAATTAAGATATTTTATATTAAATAAATCCACTAACAATGATGGAAAGAGATTTATTCAAATGTTCTTAAATCTTTAAAACATATTGAATTAGATTAATCTAATTTATAGAAAATCTAATTTTAAATTAAATGTTATATCATTATTAATAATCCTTATAATTTATTGCAATATTAGAAAAAACATTATTAAATATTGGTTTAAATAGAAAATATTTTTTAAAAAATTTCCAGATTTATTAATAATAAAAAATAAATAAGTAGTTATAAAAATAAAAATTCTATATTATGTATCATTAAATCGCTATGTTATATTAGATTTTAAGTTTTTATATAGTGCATAAAACATTTTTCTTGAAAATACTTAACATAATACAAAGGAATATTAAATTTTTATAACAATAATTTAATAGTTGCATTCTATTTTTATTGCATAAATGCAATAATGAATAGTTTTTTTTACATTTTATATTCATATTGTAAAACTAAATTAAAATAAAATAATTATTTATCTTCATCCTTGATTTACTTATCTATTAAGATCTCTTCTATCTTTTCTCTAAATTTAAAGCTGTATATTTTTTATCTAGATAGAATAGCAGTTTATAATAGTGCAATCAAATTAAGAATCGAACATTTATATATAATTATATAAATTTTATAATATTTATTAAATATATAATTTTATAAATTTATTGAAATTTTTTGATATACTTATATATTATTAAATGAAAGTAATTTATGCAAATTTATAACTATAATTTTGTTACTTCAAAATCTTCTTTGAATTTTATCTCCTTCTTTGAATTATTTTTGAGACTAATATCAATAACCAGTTTTTGAAAAATATTTGATGTAATATTCGATTCATAATTTTATTGCGTTTTACATTTGAGTATTAATAACATTAAATTCGTTGTCAACATATATATTTACATTCTAAAATAATCAGACAGAAATTTGTTTTCCTAAAGCTAATTAATTTTTAATTTTCAATTTAATGCATTCTTTTTTAATCCATAAAAATATCTATTACATATCATAGAAAATATTTTTGAACAAAAAATAAATTCAATTGTTCAGATAATAATTATTTTGTTATTAACTTATATTAGAAAAAATATATGAAATTAATATCATATTTATTAAATTGTAATATAAAATATATATATATATATATACATTACATAAAAATTTTGAAAATATTTAAATTTCAAATATTTATATATTATAATATATATTATTACATATATAATATATAACAATTATATATATATATAATATAACAAATTATATATATATAATATATAATATAACAAAAATTAATAGAAATTTTAACTAAAAATATAATAACTAATTCATTTTAAAAATAATATCAATGTTTAATATATAATGTTTCATATATTTAAAAGGCTTGAGATATTTATTGTGATAAGAACATTTACAGTTTTTAAACTAAAATCCATAAGCTCTTAAGAATTCCAGAATTAGACAGATTTGCTGCTTAAAAGTATTTTTTCAAATTAAAATTTGATTTTTTATTTAAATATATTATATTATTTTATATTAAATTATAAAACATGGTAAAAGTATCTTGCAAATTTAATTAGTATTAAATTATTATTAACTGTATTTCTTATTCATGTATATATGAAAATATTTTCATAATTTATTTTAAAAAAAAATATAAAGTTATAGATATCAAAATGTGAAAATATTATATGAAAAAAATAAAATTTAAGAACTGCTAAATAAAATAAGAATATATAATTTTATAATAGACAAATTCACATTGATTATTTATATATTTATATATATTATATATATTTATATTTTTTTCAAAAATTAAGATCTTTTTTAAAAAAAAGATATATACAAACACAAATTAATTAAAAAATTGATTATGCTTATTAACAAATAAAATATAGTTTTATTAAATTTTATTTTTTGCAATTTTTTAATATATTAATATATAATTGCATCATATATTAATGTTAATAAAAATATTATGGCCTTTGATGTTAATAAAATTTCATTTACTTTATTCATGAAAATTTTTGATATGAAATAAAATTATTATTATGTTATAATATTTAAAATGTATATTTTAATTATAATTTAAAATATATATTACTATAAAATATGTGATATCAATGTGAAAATGTCTAAAATGAGATTTTAATTTCAGAATCTTTAATTTATTGCACATACCTTATGAAAACCTTGTTTTGAGAATATTTTTGTATTATAATATATAATAAGCAAAATGAAAAAGTCTTATTATATAATAATTTAATAAAATAATTTATTATATGTGTGTATGAAGATTTTATATTATATATTTTGTATTTTAAAATTCATTTCTCATAATTTTTAAACTTTATTATATTATATATAATTTATATATAATTTAATAAAATATAGTAAAATTATATTATATCAATTATAATAAATAATTGTTATTAATTATTAATGAATAAAAAAATTATTCATTAAAAATTGCTTATTCTCTAGCTATATAACATTTTAAACATATTTACTTGGATAATAATTTTATAATTAATAATTATACATTAATAATTTTAATAAGCAATATGATAAATTAAAAAATTTAAAAAGTCAATAATCTACAATTTGTAAAAAAAAAACTTTGTTTATATTTAATCTTAATTAATTATTGAAAAATTATTTATATAGTATATAATTTTCCTAAAAAAAATTAAAAAATAAAATCGCTATAGGAAAATGTACATGAAAATAAATAATCTATTTTATGAATTAAAATATTAATAACTAATAATTATTATTAATTATATAAATAATTAATAATTAAGTTATTTTTTTTGATAATATAATAAAAGTTAATAATCGATAAAACTAATATTATAATTTTGTTCGATCAATTAAAAAAATTTATTTTTATCTTTGAAATCATGTAATTTTGTATTTATTATTCTATATTAGTCCAGAAAAACTGAGTTTGAATTAAGTATTCAATTAGTAGATATTTAATTATTGAAGCGTTGAAAATAAAAAATTATATACTTATTTAATTATTAATTATTTATTTATATATATTTGCAATTAATTACGCAATTAATTAATTATAAACCCACTATAAATTCGTTGTGTAATTAATTACATCAATTAATGTATAAATCATTGGAAAATCAATCAATTAGAAAAATTTATTGACTTAACTATTTAGGTAATCTAAGATGGACATTATATTTGATTAGTTAATTTAGTTCTTAATTTTATATTATAATAAATAAATTTAATATCAATTAAGAATGTTAGATAACTGAATTCTAAATTTTAATCAAATAATTTATAACATCGCTTAAAAGTGTTTTTTGCCATATCATTTTCCTTTTTTTACATTACAAGATGACATACATTTGAATTTAACATTAAAATTAATTTGCTCTTCAGAAGGAAGATAATTATTGTCATCTTTTTGTATGCCTTCTTCATTTTCTTCATTATCTTCTTTGTCTTCATCTTCATCTTCTTCATCTTGTTCAAGTAATTGTTTTCTAGCCATTTGAACTACTTGCCACTCTTGATAATGACGCTTTCTCTTTGCTTCAAATGCTTTACGTTTTTCTAAAATTTTTGTACATATAATTGAAATTTTTTTGTTACATTATAATAAATTTTTTTCTCTTTTTAATTAATTAAAATTATTTATTCTTTAAAATTGTTTAATATTAATATTATTAATATTAATATATAATATGTTAAAAAAATTAAGATTAATTATAATCTCAATAATGTAATAAAATAATAACTATGTCAATAAAACAAATATTTATAATCAAATTTTAAATATATACATTGCTTTATAATTGATAATAATTAAAATATAAGTTTTGTGTATATGAATAAAAATATATAATTTATTACTCCTTACCTCTTTCCTCAAGAGTTTCAGTTTCCTCTTCATCTTCACTTGATTCTTCAAATATCTTTGGTTTACTACTCTCTGCCAATCTGTAAAAAACAATAAAACAATAAAAAAAATGCAACCTATTAAATTATTTTAAATTAAAATTTAAAATAAGAAAAAATATATTTATGAATTTTAATCCATTTAATTATTTTTTATTTATCAATATTAATAAAAGTATTTATAAAAACTAAATTTGTGTACATAGGATATATTTGATTAAAGGGTCTATTCAATATTGAAATAAATTTTCATTTCAAATTATAAAAACGAATTATTTTTATTAAAGAAATTAAATATTTTGTATTAACTATATTATTAATTCATTTTAATTTTTTTTGATGAAATATATTTATAAGTTTTTGTTATAAAAATTTATATTCTTTTTTCTTAAGATAATTTAAAAATATATAAACAAAAATGATTATCCTTATATGTAACAAATAAATTACAATTATCTATAATATTTGGATATATTATATGCAGTAAAATAATAAATCTTATGCAATATAATAGAATATTATAATATATTATTGTAAAATATATATATATATATAAATATATATAAATATAATATTTGGAAATTTATATTTGCTTTTTATTCTATATATTTTTAAAATTTTAATTTTATTTTTTTATATCATTATTGTATTTTTTATATCAACATAAAACAATTTATAAGTAATCATTTTGAAATTAACATACTATAATATCTTATATTATTTTTTTTAATAATTTTTTTTATTAGTAACATATTCGTATGTCTTATGTACATATCATATTTTTTTTCTGGTATGTAACATTCCGAAGTAAGGATGTATTATTTTATAATTATGTAATTATAAATAATTTTAATTTTTTAATTTTCCTATAATAATTTGTTATTTATCACACATAAAATAATATAAAATTAAAAAAATTTACTAATATAAATATATAAGAAGTGAAATAAAATTATATAAATAAATAATAAATGATAGTAAGATTTGTTAAAATTAAAAGAAATGAATTTTAAAATTTTACTTTTTATATTAGAATTGATCTGTATGCAAAATTCATTATATTATTTTTTTATTATAATAAATTAATAACAAAAATATACTGTTAAGAAAAAAATTTGAGAATTCAGTAAATTTAATTAATAATTATGTCCATTTATGTTATTACAAAATTTTATTTATCTAATACAAAAACTATACTATTTTCAAATTCTTTTTTATATTTATCTAATACATTAAATATAATTTTACTAATAATATTCTTTTAAAAATTCTTCTAAAAATATTATTTTGATATATATCATTACAAATACAAATTTTATTAAATGAATAACAAAATATAATTAATTTATGTATTATTATACTATTATTTAAAATATAAAAAATATTTCAATAGATACAATAAATAATTAAAAAAATTAATTAATTTTTACTATAAATTGAAGATTTATTTTCAATAGTAAAAAACTAATTAATATTTTAATATATTTCTTGTAAATATATAAATTTATTGTTTTTTATTTATCAATTCTATTTAAATATTTAAATAATATAGAATAGAAATATTTTTTTAAAAAAATAAATAGATGTGAAAAAAGAATTTTTTTGAAGATAAGTTAACATTTTAAAATAATAAAAAAATTATTGTACATATTAATCATGTATAATTTTTATAATTATATATAATTTATGTAAATTTTTATTATTCATTAAAATTGATTAATTGATAACTTTAAAAAATAATATTAAATTATATACTTATAATTTCCTCAAAATTTTTTATATAATTTTTCTAAGTTATATAGAATTCCATATATTTACAAGAAGTAAATTTTTTATATTAGTTAGTTTTATATTATCATGCATTTTAAATAGATATATATCTGATTTTTTATTTTATTATACTAATTGGAAAATTATTACTTTAACGTTATTTTAGAATATTAAAATAAAACACACACACACACACACACACACACGCGCGCGCGCGCACGCACGCACGCACGCACGCATGTACACGAACATAATCTTTTTTATTCCTAAAATATTTAAATTTATATTAAATTTAAATTTAATAATTTTAATTTTATTAATTTAAAAAATTCATATAAATTGTAAAAATTAATGTCAAAAATGTATGACATATAAAAAATATTTAAATATATGTTCATTCAATTTTGACAATTAATAATATTCAAAAATAATATTATAACTATATCTCATGTAATTTTTGACTTCGGGATGTTACATACCTTCCAAAACACTTTGTATATTTCTTGGTGCATATATATTCGATTAAAATTGTTTGATCATAGTATTTGCAAATATAGTGAACCATCATAAAAAGTGATCCTGTTTACCCGAATTTTGGAAATTTAAATAACATTTTTCTGAGGAATTGAAGCAATTTTCCACACAAGTACCTCTTTTTGTGTAGAATTACTGAAAATAATAAAGGAATCAAGAAACAATTCTGAGAAGCAAAAATAGCAAATGTATATTTTGAAGAGTACTGAAACTTACCAATGTAGATTTATTCCAATAAAAAGAATAAATCAACATCAAATTTCTACATACATTTGCATACCCTCATTTTATTCTTAATATTCGACTCCAACATCAATAGTTCAGCATTATGTATGTAACAATATTATACCCTACAAGGCGATGCTGCTGCTTAGTAGAGAATAGTTGCATAATTTAAATTTGATAACTTCCTCATTTAAGCCAATCCTGGTATAAAACTCTAAACAGATAGTATAAATTAGACTGATTGAAGAACTTAAAAAGAAGTATATTTTAAAATTTAAAAAAAAATGACAAAAAAAAAAAAATGAAATTATAAATAACAATCAAATTAAATTATAATCTATTCTATGGCTATTTTAGTAAAATTTATATATTTTTAAATATCTTTTTAAACAATTTTTATAGCTTAAGAAAAAAGAAAATATAAATTCATTGATTTATATTTGATTTATTTAATTAATTTTTACATTTATTATTTGAAGCATTATATATTTTATTTTAATATATTATTATTTTTTATAAAATAAAATAACTAAATTGATAATTTGTATAATAATAATTGAAATTTATAATATATTAATAAATATTAAGCAGATGTTCCAAATTTTTTTTGGGTACTGTATGAATTAATAAAAATTTTTATTATTGAAACATTATTTTTCTTAAATTAAATAATTTTTTAATTTTTGAAATTTTATATGAAGCATATAAAATTTATCCTTAATATAATTATTGTTATAAACTTTAATTATTTCTTAAAAATACTTACATATATGTACATATATATGCGCGCGCGCGTGTGTGTATATACATATATATTTATATATATATTTATATATATATTTATATATACATGACTATTGTATAATGCATATATTAAACTGATTATTTAAATTATAAATAGTATTTTCTGATTGCTATTGATATTAATTTTATTTAATCGTTAACAATGAATGATATTTTTTATACTTTACAATTATATGTAATATTGTAATTTAAATTTATGCAAAATTATAATGTTTATAAATAATAATAAATCTTTTGATTATGCAATAAAGATATTATTATAAAAATAATTGAATGTAAATATGTAAATAATATTCTTTGATTGCTGTTATTAATATTAAGTGTGATTAATTGTTGAAGAAAAATTATTTTTGAAAAATAATAATATAAAAATATTATTCATAAAAATAATTAGAAACATAGAACAAAAACTTTTTTTTAATGAATATAATGAATTACTATAAATACTTACTTGGCAGCAATTGTAGCGGAATCTAATTCATCAAATTCAAATTCACCGGGTAAGCCTTCATAGCTGTATGGAGTTTTTGGTTCATCAATCTTGATATGGCCGTAATCTTTTCCTGGTGGGTGCAATGTTGCAATTATATTCATTTCATCCCATTTTGTTTCTTTGTTTGATCTATAATAAATATAAAATAAAAAGTTATTTTTTAATAGTTAGTAGTTTATTTTATGACATTAAAATATAAAATTAATATAATGCATTGTTAATTATGTAATGATATTT